TTGGCGGTCGTGTGTGCCAAGTTTCGTGCTAAACCGACGCCGTTTGGTGATTTTGGGGCGTTAACTCCTCGAATTCAAGTTTCTTAAGGAACTAGTTTGCCTAAAGTGAAATCCGGCTCTAACTCCCAAACCGGGAACTCGATTCGAGCCCCGACTTCTCCCACAAGTCTCTCGTGCCTAGGTGGTCGTGTGTGCCTAGTTTTGTGCAAAACCTACACCGTTTGGTGATTTTGGGGCGTTAACTCCTCGAATTCAAGTTTCTTAAGGAACTAGTTTGCCTAAAGTGAAATTCGGCTCTAACTCATAAACCGGGAACCCGATTCGAGCCTCGTCTTCTCCCACAAGTCTCTCATTTTCTTTATATAATATATAGATAGATAGATAAGGCTTCTCACTAAAAATCTCTTTTTGCTTGTATAAATGGGAGTATAAGATTCACTTTATATAATAAGTGAAACAATTCACTTTTTCTTTTTTTTCAATGTGAGATTGTAAAATAAAAGGTAAATGGAAATTAGTCAATGAAAATTTTCTTAATTGTTTAAAATTAAGAAAATTCAATAATTTTAGAATGAAGGTTTGAAGCTCCTAGAATGTTTCTCCGTAAAAACTTCATTTTCTTTATATAATATATAGATAGATAGATAAGGCTTCTCACTAAAAATCTCTTTTTGCTTGTATAAATGGGAGTATAAGATTCACTTTATATAATAAGTGAAACAATTCACTTTTTCTTTCTTTTCAATGTGAGATTGTAAAATAAAAGGTAAATAGAAACTAGTCAATGGGAATCATCCTGATTGTTTAAATTAAGAAAATTTAATAATTTTAAAACGCAGGCTTTGAGCTTCTAAAATGTTTTTCCCTAAAAATTTCATTTTCCTTATATAATATATAGATAGATTAAATCTCGAGTCTAATGACCTAAAAAAATTAAAAATAATCTTATGGCCTGAATACCTTTTTGCTATTAGTTTGAGTCATAACACTTAGGCCATGTTTGTTTGGGTGGACATGAGCTTGGGATTGGACTAATAATCCAATAAAATTATGAATCCGATATTTGGTTAAACAATTGAAGTATGGACTAATTATTTTAAACTTGACTATTAGTTAAAATAGGATACATAATCCAACGAATTCGTAGTCCTAAAACTATTAGTCATGAAAATGTTAATCCAATCCGCCTAAACAAACATGAGCTTAAAAGTCATAATCAAGATTGGCCTCGCCATAAAAATGATTCAAAAACAAATCCAATACATCTAATTCAAACAGAATGCTTAATGTAATGATTGGGCTTGCGTCTAGTTTTGAAAATGGACGGTATTGTCTAATCTGTTGTTGCTGTGCACTCACAACATAATTTATTATGATAATTCATTTTGTGTCTTTTTTAAGCTCATGTGTGTAAATATTTCACCATCTAAAAAAAATATGTGTAAATATTTATTAAAAAAAAATTAAATTAATTCGAGAATCATTCTTGTATGATTTCATATTCTTTGTTTGCAATATATTTTCAAACTCATGATTTTTTTAACGGTAAATTCAATGAATAAAATTATTGGATTTTTTTTTTTAAATCATTAAATAACTTACAAATGGGCCTAAAAGATAAACATAGTGGGGCATCAAAACCGTATAAGCCCAGCTCCAAAAGAAAGTGGTGGGGGAGAGATAGCCCAATATTGGATTTTAATTTTAAGTGCAAACTATATATAAAAATAATAATTGAAGTGTAGAATAATCAAACTTATTAAAAATAATGACAAACTATCACAAAGCTCATAAATAACTCATGTGCATGAATCGATAGTTACTACAAACAGAATTTTATTGAGTTCTCATTATGCTATAAACTCAAAAATTATATCAACAAACTCTCTATCCTTAACCAACGAAGGAACAAGTTTAATCAATGCATAACTCCAAAAATAAAAATAAAAACCATGAAACTTCCACTATCACTTATTCACGCATGATCAGAAATTTTGTCTTTAATTTTTTTATTCTTTTATGTCAATACATTTTTAATTATTGAATAATGTAAAAATTTCAACTCTCTATCCTTAACCAACGAGAAGGAACAAGTTTAATCAATACATAAAAAATAAAAATAAAAACCATGAAACTTCCACATATGATCATAGATTTTGTCTTTAATTTTTTTTATTTTTCTATCTCAGTACATTCGTAATTATTGAATTATATAAAAATTTCAAAAAACATAAATTTATAGAATCATGATTCAATGATAGGGAGTATATTGAGATGGAAGAACATAAACATTAAGGACAATGAACTTCGTGACACATACCATGTTACTATTAAAATGTGCGGAAACAATGTTTAGGAACCAATGATGGGATGGTGTTTATGCCATGGGTGGGCTGGGGGATGGATAGGAGTCCTTTCCGGAGCATGAGCATGATGATGCTAATGATAATGGTGCTTCTCTAGGTGATGGGTATGACCATGATCGTGATCCATGTCTGGAGCATGGGATGGAGCCTTGACTGGGGGATGGCCATGGGCCATTTCTGGTGAATGGGCTGGAGGGAGGGTAGGAACCATTATAGGTGCATAGGTTGGAACCTTTACAGGGACATGGGTTGAAGTTATAACAAGTGCATGGACAGGAGTCTTTATAAATGCATAGGCAGGATGTTGGAGCATTGGTTGGAGCCTACAATTAAAAAAAAAAAATTCAATTAATCAATTTTTTTATGAGAATGAATTGATCAATTTGATTGCCTGATTAGATTTTATTTAACAAAATAAAACATCGGCTACTAAACTAATCATGAAATCCAAAAATTAATGGAACTTATGCCTCAATGAAACAGGCACCATCCTCAGCAACAATTTAAAGAACAAGCCAAGAATTACAATAATGTTTTGAAATTACCTCTGTGCCAATTGCCTCAACAAAATTTGGAACCTACAAAATCATAGTATATTGGTGATTTTCCAAAAATATATATACATATATTAAGAAGAAAATTCAGGAAAAAAAAAAAACATATGATATCATCTGAAGTGTCGACTAAGAAAAAAATTTAAGGAAAAAATATGATTGACACTCTTGTCACATAGTTGTGTTGTGTCTTGCATGTGTCTGTGTGTATAAATCATAGAACATACCCTTGTGGTGACTAAAGGAGCAAGAAGCAAAAGAGAACGAACATAGATTTCTTCATTGCCATTCCAAGCAAAGGAATGAAAGAAGCAAAGATTGGGTGAGGAGCTGTGTCAAGTGATGAATTAGGCGGGTATGAAACTGCAGTATATATAATCTCTCTTTATAATAATAATAATAATGAATCATTAGATGCCGACTGTTGAATTGTCAGTTTTAGCTTCCCAGATAAACGCTCAGAGAAAATGCAGCTTTTCTATTTCTGGTTTTTTAAGGTTCAAATTTGACAGAGACATGCATGCCGAAGAATTTCTAATCCTAGGTTAATAAAATCTAATTTCATTAGACAAGGCATAACCAATTATCGGTCAATAGTTAGACAAGATTACCTTGTCAACAATGTGAAATCCGATAAAAATAAAAAATGTGAGTTTGTTGAAAGATCTCAATTCAAACAGTTGATTAATATGGTTCATAAATAAATTTGTTAGTTAAACCAAATGGGGTGGGTTTATTTGCAAAGTTTTGGAGTCTTTTGAACTGTTATATTCACAAATGATTAATTTTATGAATTTTTTTTTATTAAATCTATGTCCATACATATCATGTACGACTTGCCATGCATATTAATTATCAAAAACTGTAAACTTGTTCAAAATCAACAGCCAATCTCAGTCCTAACAAACATATATATTTTTCAGAAAAAATTTATCGGGCTGATTAGTAGGACAAACATCCCATTAACTAAGGTAGATATGTTCTGAAATATTTTATACCAATTCCAAGTTCTCAGCCAAACCAATGCGAATCTTGCTTCCCTAGGGGATTTGGAATCTACAGTAATAAATCAGTTACCCAGCAGGCCAAAGTGATGAGACTTGACACTCCTGTTGGCCCACGCCTCTCTTATGGTTAGGTTAGTACACCAATGGAGAATCGTAACTTCTCGTTATATAGGAGATTAGGCACGAAATGTTTGGAATTGTGATCACTTAATCCTAGCTGTGATATTAATTCAATTGCTCGATGTTTAACTTGTTTACTTATGCCTTATTGAGAAAATTTTATGGATGTTTATTTGTACTCTTATTTGTACTGTATGTTGACCTATGACGGGAGTACCTTTCCTAGCCAGCTAGTGTTCCTTGGTTGGGAGCACAAGTGGTAGGTACATGACATCAAAACGGTACATATTTTTTTTTTTTAAGTTGATATTGATATGCATATCTTGTTAATCCAACTAACTGGAGGAAAATAGATCTATACAGTTGACCCCAAAGTAATTGAGACACAGTTGTTGACTGCCAAGATGAAAAACATTAAATTTGTATTAAGATGCAACTAATTTGGTTTACAATGGCCGAAAGTTCCCCAATTGGCCATTAGTTGAAGTTTTTAAGCATTGTCGTATCACCTTTAATCAAAAGTTAAAGTTCACTTGCAGATGTATGGAGTAAATGTCTGGTTTAGAGCATAGAGATACCATCTAAAAACATATATTTGGAGAAAAGAACATGGTATAACTCCACTAGTTGAAAACAGAGTTTTATACATATATATATATATATGAGAAAATCAAAATCTAAGAAACAATCACTATTCAACCACCTAAATGTAAAATTAACCTAGTTATTGAGGTTTATTCGTTTCTATTTCAACAGTGCATGTAATAAAGCAATATAAAAGTCATACCCAATGCACCAAAACTGCAACTTATAGCATGATATGGTACGGGTAATAAATTGACAATATATTCACATTATTGTATAGAGAGATTCTCACTCCGCTTTTTTATGAATGCACTTCAAAATGTGTTTTTTCAAACATTAGAGCTCACTTCAATGAGTTGACCCCATAATTATGAACAAAATCTCTACCTAATTCAAATGATTAGTATTGACAAACAATATAACTGTGACAGCTGAATCGAGCTAACAAACAGCATAAACTGGACAAATGACAAATGGGACTACAGAAAATACATGTTCTAAACACAATTTCACAACTTAGTGTGCTTTCAGAGACATAAGAAGAAGATAACAAAACACTAAACAATAGAAATGCCCATGGAACTATGACAAGTGAGTACAACAACTCTGCTGCATTAGCCTAGATTCTAGGATTCTGATAAAGAGCTTTCATGTGCCCTTTTCTTTGTGAGGTTCGGACAGGTAAATCAATATATGAGATCTAGTTGATGGTTTCTTCATCCTCAAAGCTCAAGTATAATGTTTGTAGTTTGAAGCCCGAACCTTGTATGATCTCAACCAAATTGGAGGCCACCCCTGTAGCTTGTATTGTCGTCTCTTTTGTTAGCTGGGAAAGCATACACGTGGACAAAGCATTCCGTCAATTTGAGATAATATTCAAAATTTCAAGAACAGAAACACATCTTAATTGTACAAGTAATACACTTGTAGAAAGGTTTTCTCTAAAAAAAGTTGAAATACAGTGGAAAATGTGAGGCAAATCTGTGGCTAGCATCCATGAACAATTTAGGAATCCAAGCTCATCAAGTACTTTTATGTTTAAAGCCATTGCAATTCAAGGACTAGGAACATTTTGTTTACAGTTTTGGGTGCAAGTTCAACTTAAAGTGATTACCTAGACAGAAGTAACACTTGTATATTATAGTTTCATTTATGAGATGTAAGATGTAACAAGTTGTTTATGCTCACCTCAACACTTGCAATTCCCTCGACAACTTGAACTTTTAAATTGGCAATGCCTTCTGTTTCCTATAAAATAAAAAATGAAAGGTAATTGGAAAGGTTAGAACTTAGAAGGCCGAAAGTCCAGACATGATAAAACCTTTGCTTTATCGTGAAGAAAATAAACCATTGTCAATAATCAATATAGAATATTCTTGCATCCCATTAGTCAAATCCAAATATCGGGGGCAACATTGACAATTTTAATCCACGAATATAGAATCAAATTCATTTGTAGAACAATTCAATAAGGATAGATGGATCTACCTCTAAAGCATTGGTCACTGTACGAATAGCTGCTTCATTCATTGTTCCTTCTGCCTACATATTTAAGACAATCAGCGTGTTAATAAATAGAAGCATACTTGATATAATATATAAAACAGAAATGGATGACCATGGCAATTAAAAAACATTGCAGACAATAAGATCACCCACCATGCTCAGTTAATAAGATTAGAAGTCTCAATCTAACCACAAAAGCTGAACGCATTTCTACATGGAAGTACATAAAGTATGCGATACAAGAATATAAGAACTATGTGATCCCATACTCAACGTACTGATCCTGTGATAGCCCTCTCCCTTCTTGCGGCTTCAGTCACCTATCAATATTTGACACGTCAGCAGGTATCTTAATCCAACCTACAAGTTGCCCCTCTGGAACTTGAACTGCAAAGCCACCGAAACACACACACCCATAGAGAACTATAGGGTTTAGGGTTTATGGGTGTGTGTTTCGGCGTAAAAATTGATGTGTTTGTAGCATTGTTGGGCTTAAATTCATGCCTATTGTCGGGCAATGTGGGACCGTAACAATGTCACAAACCAAATGAATCAGATAAGCTTGCACTATTAGTTCCAATAGTTTAAATGAATGATTCTTTTTCTATAATTTTTACAAGAAAACACCATGCTAGTTCATCAAAGAACTTAAAAACACACAGCTACAAAATCCAATTACATTTTAAAAAACAGCAAACACTACACATCCCAAAACATCAACAAACAAACAAAAAAAATTCGAGTTACAAATCCAGAACAACCCTTTCCAATTCACTAAATACATAATCATTAATTAATCCCAGAAAATGCCACTGATATCAATTCAAGCCGTCAGAGTCATGAGAACAAGCAATTGCAATGGAGATATGGAGGTTTCCTGAACAAACTCAAAAAACAAAAAACAAAAAAAAGACAGAATTGATGAGTACCTGAAAGAACATGGTGAGAGCAGAGACGGGCTGATCAGTCTCTTCTGGAACTAGGGTTTCTTCGGCGACCGACCTAACCATGTTTCTCCATCTTTGGAACTTGTTATTGTTCAGTACAAGTGCGAAAGTAGGGTTACGATTGACAGAGCTGCCATGGCTTTGACGATGAAGAGACCCAAGTGGAAAGCTCGAAGAAAGAGACGCATGGATGTGAGATTTGGATGAGCAAATCGAATTCAGAGAGGAAAATCCTGAGATTGAGGTTGAGGAGGCCATTGTTGTTTGCTTCAATTTTGTTATCGTTCCAAAATCGAAAGCTGATATTTACTGCGAGTATAGAGCTTTTTGCTACTTCCCCACCCTATGAACATAGCCAAAGAGGTAAATTACAAACCCACCTTGAGGTTTTAATTAAATTATAAATTATTTTTTGTAATTTTAAAAATTATATTATACCGCTTAAAGTTTTTAATTTCATAACAAATAAGTTATTTTATTAATAAATTATCAAGTTAATAGTTTTTAAATTTTATTTCAATTAATAATTCAAATAATGTTATTATTATATAGGTAAACAGTTAGAAATTTTATTTTTTTAATTAATTATGTTAAATAAAAAATTCTGATAAGGAGATATTTATAATTTTTCAAATTACAAGAAACAATTCGTATTTTAAATATATCTCTAGAGGTGTATTTGTAATTTATCCCCACCAAAGTTATTCATACTTGCTTTGGAACTTGGAAGCAGTGAATACTGCTCTGGAAATGGTACTTCTTTTCTCTCATAACTGAATATTTTGGTAAATTATAAATTGTCTCATGTAGCTCTTAAAATTACATTCTAGCCTTTTAAATTTCTAATCATATAACAAATGTGACCCATTTATTAATAAACTATCAAGTTAATTAAACATATTTTAATTAACAATTCAAATAATTTTATTATTGTATAAAAGAATATTTAAAAATTTTATTTAAACTGTTAATTTTGTTAAAATAAAAATTCAAGAAGAGAGTATTTATAATTTTCAGAATCACATAAAACAATTCATATTTTAAGAGATATATTTATAATTAACTTCTTTTTTCTTTTTCTTTTTATAAAAAACATAAAATATAAAAAACTTTGTTGGTTTTGCTTTTGTGACTCTTTTTATTAAAAAAATTGTCAAAATATTCAACTTTATAAAGGCTTTTAAATTCGAATTTCCTAAATATTTTAAAAAGAATAATATTATATGTATTAATTAGTATACTAACAGATGGTGTAGTATAATTTTATAAATTTAAAATATTTATAATTTGTATAATAGATAGAGATCAATAATAATGACATTACAACTATTGTGTACATTAATTATTACATGTAGCAGACCGCTTTAAAATTCAACATTGTAAAACTTCACTAAAACCAAAAAATGAAATAAAAAGGGCAATTAACTTCTTTTTTCTTTTTCTTTTTATAAAAAACATAAAATATAAAAAACTTTGTTGGTTTTGCTTTTGTGACTCTTTTTATTAAAAAATTGTCAAAATATTCAACTTTATAAAGGCTTTTAAATTCGAATTTCCTAAATATTTTAAAAAGAATAATATTATATGTATTAATTAGTATATTAATAGATGGTGTGGTATAATTTTATAAATTTGAAATATTTACAATTTATATAATAGATAGAGATCAATAATAATGACATTACAACTAATATATACATTAATTATTACATGTAACACACCGTTTTAAAATTCAACATTGTAAAACTTCACTAAAACCAAAAAATGAAATAAAAAGGGCACGCGCGCGCCAAAAAGAAGAAAAAAAAGGGCCAAACAAAACCTTACATGGGGTCATTCCTCCAAAAAAGCAGTAAGCAATGCCATAAACGAGAAAAATAAAAATATCATAAAACAAAAATAATTTCAAAATTAGTTTGCTAAAAAAAATAAAATAAAATACTCTGTAGTGATACAATGGGGTGTTTTGAAAAGTTGGTAAAAAACTGACTTTTGACTTTTTATCAAGCTTTTTAACTTTTTAAAAAGTGATTTAGGAAGTTGATAAAAAATAGACTTTTGACTTTTTGGTTTACTATTTGTTTATGATGTCAAATCAAATTAAAATGATCAAAATACCTTTACCCAACGTTTGTTTTTTACTTTTTTATTTTTTTGTCATAAGTTCCAATTTGTAATTTCAACCCTTGCGTTTTTTAGTTTCCCAAATGAATTTTGTGATGTTTTTGGTCGGAAGCTTTTTTTTCCCTTAGATAAAAAAACGTGGCATTTTACCAAACTTCTCAAAACGGCACAATGTTATAGATGAAAAACATTCTATTAAAATTTCTACCAAACACTTGTGCAAGTGTGACACCCACACCCATATAAGTACTTGATAATAAAAAAATTATTAAAAATTATAGCGTTTCTAATGCTGTGTTTGGTTGAGAAATTTGAAGAGAGATTTGGAAAGGGAAATGAAAAAAGTAGATAAAATGTGAAAAAAAATATACCTACATTTCACATAATTTCACACATCTTTTCTTTTTCTCTTTCTAAATCTCTCTCCAAATCCTCCAACCAAACACAACATAAGTATTTTCCTTCATGTAATTCACACAAAAAGAAACTGAAAGATGTTTGCTTCTTGACGGTGACACGAGACATTAAAAACAGAACAAAAAAAAATGGCGAATGACTTTAAATCAAAACACAAATTGGCAAAAACATGATTTTCATATTAACTTAATGTAATTTTTTTTGAAATCATATTTTCAAAAGCTGTGTTTGGGCTTGAAAAGTACAAATCTACTTTCGTTTGAAGATTTTGAAAATCGACATGGATTTGGTAAATAACTTCTTAAAATTACCTGCAGCAATAGAAGCATATCATTGATTGATCATAAAAGGAAGCATAGGTAGGGGTGTTATTCTGAAAAAATCCAAGAACCGAACCAATCCTAATAGTTCTGTGATTTTGAGAACTAAAACAGACCATTACACTGGTAAAATCAGACGAGAATCAAACCGAAATAACAGTTCAGTTTGGTTCACGGTTCCAAAAATTTCTAATTGTTAATATTAGCAAAATAATTACTCAAACTAATTACATTTAATTCATGATAAAAACTAATAATATTAAAGCATTACTCAACATTACATATCTATATTATCCTAATATCATTAAAATTACAAAAAATCAATTAATAAAAATAAAACTTGATATTATATATATATATATTTTAAAATTCGGCTCGGTTCGATTTGAACCATAATTTTTTCATAAAATCCATTAACTGAACCATTTTTACAGTTCTCATACTTCTTAAAACGAAACCGAACCGGTTCTTAATAGAACCGAACCAAACCGTACGATTTATTCTGATTCAATCCGAATTACCAGTTTGAACAGATTTTTGAACAGCCCTAATTATAGGCCCCGCTAACCAAAAGAAATTAGCTCAAACACTCACATTGTGGTTATTATATAAACACATCATTCATGTACCTTCCCAACAACCAAAGAGTTTAGGCCCTATTTGATAACTAACAAGTAGTCTAGATATATGTTTTCATCCAATCTTCTTGACAAAGCAAAGTTGCTACTTCCAACCATTTGCAGTACTGAATATCACATTCAGCCTCAACTTCCCCATCTACACACAAGAAGCACAAGAGATTCTATCAGGTTCTTCGAATCCAACACAACTTACAAACACATTCATAAGATTCTATCGGGTTCTTACCTTTGAGATATACAGCCAGGTTCGCTTGAGCATCAGCTGCAGAGTTGAACTCCTTCCCAACAAAAAAAAAAACAAAAAAAACCTTAGGACTGAAGCTGAAAACCGACAATGCACGCAAACTCTAGTGATTTTTTCCCCTTTTTATTACTAGCACTCCAAATTTTGCAATGGCAACAATTATTTCCTTGATGATAGTCATGAGGAATATGACTGAATTTTGCAAATATTTAATAATTTAAAATTGCACAAAACTGAACGAAGGCATCTACAAATTATTTAATAATTTTTTCCCCTTTTTATTACTAGCACTCCAAATTTTGCAATGGCAACAATTATTTCCTTGATGGTAGTCATGAGGAATATGACTGAATTTTGCAAATATTTAATAATTAAGGGAATAATCTACATTTACCCTTTCAACATGACGGATCTCAAAAGACATAAACTTATCCTTCAACTCCTTAGCCACCTTACACAAGGCCGCCATGTTTGGGTTTTTAATTTTCCACAAACCCTGAACCTGTAACACAAGTTCACTTTCAATAATGACATACATAATATAAACAAATTATAGAACAAAAATAAATAGCAATCAGCTTGTTTGGTTATAGTTTTCAGAAAATTCTACTTTTTATTTTCCGTATTTTAATGTTTTCAATGATTTTTTTTAACATTTTAAGCAATTTTTTTCTTTAATTTTTAAACACGCCTAACATAAATACACTTAAAAAGTATAATATTTGTAAAAAAAATATTTAAAAAATACATTAAATACCAAAAAATACAAAAAAATAGTACTTTTTTCGTATTTTTGTGTATTTATTAATTTTTTAAAATATTGTTTCACAAATATTTTACTATTTAGATACCTTTAAGTAAGGTGCATCTAAAAAAGTAAAAAATTACTTAAAATTTAAAAAATATTCACTAAAAACAAAAAAATACGAAAAACAAAAAACAAAAAACAAAAAACTCAATTTTTAGAAAACTGAAACCAAACACACTGAATATGATCTTGGCCACAATCTTAAAGCAAGGAAAGAGGCTGTGTTTGACTTAGAAAATATGAGGAAGAAGAACTCCGAAAATATGAGGAAGAATGAATATATTTCTGTTATATTCAAAACTTCTTATCTTACAAGACCAAATGACACTCCTTATATAGGAGATATTACAAACATCATTATAACCCATTATATGCCACTTACATATTATATATTACCACTATCTACCACTATCATATTATATACATGCCACTATCTACCACCAACACCACTATCATATTATATACATGCCACCATCTTATTATATACATTAACACAAATTTCTAGCATAAATAATGTGCAATGATTGCTATATACCTAATTTAATCATTGTTAGGTTAACATGGTGAAACTTGTAAATACGGCTGTCTTCCACAGTTTTCTTGTGGTGGTTGCAGTCGTCAACCGATTTCCATTCGTATGTGTTGAAGATGTTAAGATCCTGCCACAACCTTTTCAACGAATTGAAATATTTGGTGACGGAATCATCTCCTTGACGAATCTCTCCCAACTTCAAAGTTAA